CTGACCTCTGCATTCCCAGTAACTAGCACTGGCTGCTCTTGTTACTGCTTTTGAGTAAATGAATGATGCTACCTACAGAAACAAAAAGGAAAAATGATAACAGTAACTCAGAAGAACAAAGGGGTGCGAGTTAAACTGAGAATATCCCCCTCTGCCCCTAGCAAAGGACACTCCACTTAACTGCTTTCAGCCTTAGCCCTGGCCAGACCCCAGCTCCACGCTGGAACACTTGACCTCTCTTCTTCAGTCCCCAAGTCCACTTTGCCCTGTGACCTGGGCTAAGCAGCCTCAATGGAATGTAAAAAGAAATGTCAATTGCTCCTTTTGCAGTATATAAACTTTATTTTCTATCAGGAATAATTTAGGACCAAAAGAAGCTTTGAAAGGACAAAAAGCTTAGGTTAATCAAGAGCTACCTTTAGAAACACACATTTTGGTTTCATTTCTGCTGCCATTTGCTTCGTGGGGGCCTGTGACTCATTTCCTATTCACTCCCAGGTAGAACAAGAATGATGATCATAGATTCACATCCTCGGCGAGTTTCCTCCCATCCTCACAGCTCTGCCAGATTAGTCTCTTTCTGTCCTCCCCACCTATGTGGACACCTGGATGGGATGGCTCCTGGGAGAAATGACGTGAAGTGGCATTTGTACTCAAAGAAGCGGATTTTCATTTGGACCTTTCCATACTGGGCAATCTTTCAGGTAAACAGAAAGGATTGTGCTCAGTCTGTCGGTCATGCTGACCTGAATGTATAATTTGCTATGTTTCTGGTCACCAAAGGCAGAACTCCAAGCAGGAAGATGATGGGAAGAAGCCCTGAGGGTCCAGGGCCCAGATCTGGGGGCCTGCCTTAGAGGCTGGGAGATCTCAGAGCTGGGAGCAGGGCTCCCTGGAGAGAAAAGTCAGCATTTGGTGGCCACAGGAGACCTCCAAGGGGCGTTGTTCATGAAGAATCCAGTCTGATACTGGCTCCCGAAGCAAAGAAGTGTAGCTGGAATGTGGGTGGATAAAGAAAAGGTAAAAGGACACATTTTAATTTTACTTTGGAAGTGTCCCTACAAATTTATGATTTATTTTCCAAAGATTTTACGTTAGAAAAACCTCATGGCTAATTCATGTTTGTTCTCAAGTGAGCACTAAGCATTATACAGACGTTATTTACATGAATACCGGGTGTTATGGACTGAATTGCATTTCCCCCAAATTCATAACCCCCAATGTTGTTGAATATGTAGTTGGGGCCCTTGAAAAGGTAACTAAGATTAAGCAAGATTTTAAGGCTGGGGCCTTAGTCCTATAGGACTGTTGTTTTTATAAGAAGAGGAAGAGATACCAGGGATGTGTGTGCAGAGAGAAAAGGCTATGTGAGGACACACTGAGTAGGTGTCTGTCGGCAAGCCAAGGAAAAAGGCCTTTCCAGAAAACAACCAACCCTGAAGGTACCTTGATCTTGGACTTCCAGCCCCCAGAACTGTGAGAAAATCAATTTCTGTTGTTCAAACGCTCAATCTGTTGTTACGGCAGCCTGAGCTCACTAATATACTGGGGCTTATCATACTCAAAGTTGGTGCCTGTACATTATTTCAATCTGTTTCTTATAATGATCCTGAAAGAAGGAATTCTATTATTATCATCCCAGTTTTATGAATGAGATAGCTGAGATCGAAGAGGTTGCTATGATATGCAGGGCTCGTTCAGACCATGATACTGACAGGATTCTAGAGTCCTCCCCATCATGGCCCCACTTGTAAATAGATCCTCAGTAAGGACCCTCCTGGCCCCTGGGTCCTCACATGAGTGTAGCCCATGTAGATGAAGACACTGAGATTCTGGAAGGCCTTTAAGAAAGGGACAGCGTCACTTGGCTCCCTCTAACAGAGGGGGCTGCGTTAGTCTGTCTGCCTCTCTAGACACGCTGAGCTTGTCTTAAAAGCAGAGGCCCTGGCTTCTTCTTCCAGTGAAGGAGACCGGGGAAAAGTTGTCAGAGGAAGAATTCAGGAATGATTCGAGTAGGACAAGGCCAAGGAAGGAAAAGAAGGCTGCAGAGGCAGCCCCACGAGTCCTGCCAGGTGGCCATGCTGTGGCTTGTACGCGACAGGGAAGGACAGATCTCCTGAAAGTGAGTGAATAGGAGCAGGTGCAGCACAGAGTAGGGCTGCAGTTACGACTCCTTGAAGGGATGAATGATCTCTAGAGTGGACCACATAAAACTGTCATGCACTTTAGAACCAAGACCTTTCAGTAGCTGTTTTGTGGGTTTTGTTTGTGTTTGTTTTTCATAATTTGTAAGGCACTTTCCCATACCTGCTCTCATGTGAACCTCACAATAGCCTTGTAGCATATGCAGGATTAACTCCATTTTATAAGTAAGACTGGTGACTTCCAAGAGGGGCCGTGGGAGATAGAGGCAGAGCTTGGACTCCGATGCCCCATCCTCCCTCTGTGGCCTCCTCTCTTCGGGTGGAAATCCTCTACGGGCAAGGGCGATTCTAGAAGACGGCTGTTCCCATCCTTCTGTACTGAGGCGTGACAAAACATAGTTCCCTCCTGCTGTCCTCACAACTTTGGAGCGAGCTTCACTACGTGCTAGGGCTCGAGGCTGGGCTAATACGCAGCCAGGAGGCACCAGCTGTTTGTCTGGACCAGGACTGGTCTGACTGGTCAGTATTCATGATGTAAACCGCACGCATCTCTTCAAGCTGGGAGCCGAGTGGCGACCCAGGCAGGAGAAGAACAGTAGCCTCTGCTTTTCCAGGTTGACAGGAATGAGGTGGTCAGACTGGGGTCCTCGGCATGGTGTCCCCAGTGGGCCTCATGTCCCTGCCACCATTGCACACCCTCCTCCTGCCTCACTGAGCTGAAGGCATTACAAGCGCTTTATGCCAACAGCCTTGCTCTCCCTTGCCGTGCCCTTGCCCCTGCTTTCCCCTCCGCCTGGTGGCCCTTCCTGTCCTCTCCTCCTCCTGGAGCAATTTACACTCCTTTCAAAACCCAGACAGCAGGTCTGAGTCCTTTCCTGGGCTTCCACCCTGTGTCCCCTCTTGCCATGTTGTATCACACTCTTATTCTTCCTTGTCTTCTAACTAAAGCTCGCACCTTTTGAAGGCACATGACATTCATCCGCTTATTCCTAACACCCAGCACAGTGTCTGCTACCTAGTGAATGAGCAGCAGATACATGTGAAACAAGTAAATGGGGCAACATCAATGGGGGGAGTTTCGCCCACGTAACCTCCGGGAGCCCCTCCTTTCACGCTCTAGGAAGCACGACACAGTGTTTAGGAGCAAGGACCCTGGAGTCACAGTTTATGGGTTCAAGTTCTAGCTGTGTCATTTATTAGCTGTATGATTTAGGCAGAACACTCAACTCCCCTCTGCCTCCATTTTTCCGTCTGTAAAATGCGATAACAATAGCAACATGGAGTTCACGTGAGGATGGAATTAGCTAATCCAGTAAAGCAAGCGCTTGGCGTGGTGCCTATTGCGTAAGAGCTCGAGAAGCATCAGCCCTTATCATGATTTACCACCCAGAACTCCAGCCCGCAGGGAGAGCTCGGCTCCCCGGCTGTCGGGTCAGCTCCGCAAACCTGTTGTGGACCAGCGCCAAGCAGAAGGCTCCGCCAGCATGGTCAAGTCCGAGTCATCCTGAGTCTCTCCCTGATGGCTTCGTCCCAGGCTCCTAGGCCTGAGCTGCTGCCTGAATCTCACTCACTCATTCTTTTCCTTTTGTTTTCGTTTTTCAGGAAGTATCGCTGCGTGTTTGCTTCTGTGCCAGCTACAGAGCCTACAGTCCAGAGGCAGACAGGCGTGGCTCCCGCCCGCGTGACACACAGAGTAACCGGAAGGAGGGAAAGTGAACATTATACTTGCGGTGACTGTTGCAAGGCAAAAGCACAGGAATTTAGGGATGCTCGTGACTGGGCACCTAACTGAAGCAGGGGCTACCGAGAAGGCTTCTTGGAGGAAAAGTCAGGGGAGCTGAGAGCTCAAGGAGTCACCAGGCACACGGCTGCAGGGGAGGAGGGGTGACTTCCAGGCTGGTTTTGGAGCGAGTGTGAACGCATGGGGGGACGTCTGGTCACTCGCAAAAGTCCCATGTGGCCAGAACACGGGAGCCTGGGAGGTCAGAGAGACCGTCGGGCACGTTCACAGGGCCCTGTGGGTTTCTTTAAGGATTTCCAACTGTATCTTAAAACAAGGGACACCACTGGACATGGCGGGTGAGCAAGTGGGAGGTTTCCAGGATGGCTTCCACGTTTCTAATTGAGAAGTAGGTGGGTTGTGGGTCATTTCTTTGAAATGAATAGTTCGGGAGGAACGGCACGTGTTGGAGGGCAGGCGGTGAGTTGGGGTTACCTGTGGGACCCTCTGGGGTGCAGTAGTTTTCTGCTGCTGATGTAACAAGTCACCACAAACTAAGTGGCTTAAAACAATGCAATTCTGATGGTACAGTTTTGGAGATCAGAAGCGGGAAGTCAGTGTTAGGCCAAAACCAAAGTGTTGGTAGAGGCGCAGTCCTTCTGGAAGCTCCAGGGAGCGTTTGCTCCCTTCCTGTTCTGGCTCCACAGGCTGCCCGCACTCCTCGGCTCTCACTCCCTCCTTCTGTCATCAAATCTTCTTCTCCGACGCTGACTCTCCCGCATCCCCCTTCTGCAGTCCCTGGCGATGACTCTGGGCCCCGCCGGGTAATCCAGGATCATCCCCGTCTCAGGTTCCTCCACTTGATCCACCTGCAGAGTCCCCTGTGCTACGTCCTGGTATCACATTCACAGGTTTGGGAAATTAGGACCTAGACTCTTGGGGTGGAAGAATTATTCAGCCCACCGTTTGGGGTTAGGGGTTAGTTTGACATAAACCCTGGAGTCCAGAAGAGAATATATATTAAAGAAATAATTCAGAAGTTATTGGTTTTGATGGAATAATTCAAGCCATGTTGGTAGCAAGGTAATCTAGTGCAATATTGCACAGTAGAAGACAAACGAGGTGGAAACTAAACATTAAAGTCCTCTGAGCCCACAAAGCCATGTAGAGGGAAGAGAGCTAGCAAGAGGGCCTGGGGATTGCTTTAACATCTCCTGGGGTTTCTTCTTCTCTTAGGTCTCAGGGACCTGTGCTCTATCTGTGGCTCCAGCTTCCCAGGGCCAGGTTCCCGATGGCCCGGACTGCAGATGCCACAGCCTGCCTGCCTCAAGAAGCTCCGCCAGGGACCAGCACCCACGCGTGGACCCCACCACGCTCTGCCCTGTAGTCACTCTCTTGCCTTTGCTTGTCTTTCTCCCAAATCCATCAGCAGGGACTCTGACGCCCTTCTTAGCCTCCCAGTCCCATCCACAGAACACGGAGCATAAACACACCTCCTGTTCCTGCTGCCGGGTTCTTTGGCCTCTGCGTGTGTGCCGGATTTTCTAGCCAGCCGCTCTGCTGGTTTCCGAATCTTAGTTCTTGCATGAATATTGAAGTTTTTAGAAAAAGAGGCACGAAACAAGCATGAAACACCTGGGATTGACTTCCCAGCTCTGGAAATCCCAGGACTTGAAGTAAGTGTTTCTTAGAGTTTTAGAAATGCATGTTTATCAAGAAAATGCTGTTTCTTGCTGTCGGGAGTAATGCTGGGAAACCTCTTGCCCAATATGTGGCCCAGAAAGGAAATGCAAATAATTTCGAGAGTTGTAGATAGATTAATGGGTGACAGTGTGGCTGGAGGTCAGTGAGGCAGGGTGTGGAACACAGGGATGGTCCTAATCTTGTAGGGGAGGGCTGGTCTGCAAGTTAGTTGTCACCAATCTACAACAAGGTAATACAGAAATTGAAACTAGGCATTTAGAAGATGTTTCTAGCAATTGAGATGGTCATGACATCAAAGTGCATGATTATTTTTTCCAGTAATTTATTTTATTGTATTTTATAAAAGTATCAGCTTCCAGCAGAACTTTAAAAAAATCTGTTTAAAAATTTTTAACAATAAGATTTTTTTAAATTTCTAAAAGTTAAACCACTTTTAATCCTCATAGATAAATTGACAAGTACAGGTACAGAGGACTCCCACGGCCCATTCCTCCAACACTGACTCTTCTGTGGTGGGACTACTGGGGTGATCTGTCCGTGGGTGGTTAGGGGGCCTGGGCAGGGGCCAGTTAGCAGGGGTTCTGCTGGTTTTCAGTCCAAACCCCCAGAGTGTGCTGGTTTGGAGTCTAGCTGCAGTTTCATGTCACGTTATTCGTGGGGAACGGTGCCTCTCGCTGCATGCCTTTTTCTGCAGGGGGAAAAGCGAACGCACCCTTCTGTACAGTGAGTGTCAGACGGAAGGACCCACCACTGTTACTCTTATTTACCGCATGGCACGGCCAGAATGTGAGTCCTGCCTGCCTCGGGGGTTTTGTACATGTCCCTCCTTCCACCTGGCTGCTCTTCCTCAGACGTCTCCCGTCACCATGACGACTTGCACTTGTTTCAGAGTGAAGCTCTGCCGAATTTCCGCAGGGCCTCTCCCTCCTCCACTCAGCCAGGTTCTTCAAGGCTCCCTGCGCTTCTCCTGTACCGCGATATTCACAGAGCCAACTGTGCGACGAGTTGCTTCATTTCTACCTTTTCCCCAAATTGTGAGTTGTCTGGGGGTAGGTCATAATCTTTCTTCTTCATCGTCATGTCCTTATAGCCCAGCACCCTGCCTGGCACACACATGGTAGGTATTTAATACATATGTGTTGAGCAAAGTAGTGGATGGATTAACAAACGAATGAATGGATGGATACAGAATAGCCTCTTCCCCATAGTTGGAAGCTCTGCTTAACAGCCTATTCTCCCACTCTTCTATCCCTCCCATACATTAATCCTGGCTTTGTTTATACTGAAAGAAAACAGTCAACAGGCTAAAGATTCTAATTCTTTGCTAGCAGACCCTTGTACTGTGCTCACACGGGAAACCTTGACACCCCACCACTCCCGGCCCTGCACTCCCCCATCTAGAGAGATTCATACGGGGCGAGCAGTGGCAGTCGTAATTATTTGCTATCATAAAGTAAATTTGCAAACCCTTGTAATGTACCAATCTAATTTCCTTTGAAAAATGTATACCCATATAGTCTTTAAATCATGAGCAACGTTTTGTTTCATTTTGCAGATATTTAAGAAATGCAAGGCAAGAATGGCTAATAACAGGAGGAAAAGAGTGGGCTCTTACCCTAAGCTTGTGTGGGCATGCCTTTGCCGCCAATAAGGACAATAGGAGCTGGGTGCATAATGGGTGTTCCTGTAAATCTATCCAGTGGATAATACACCCCTTAATTTAAAATAGCTGATAAAGTGTGAATAAACGCCTCTCGTCTTTTCCACTTCGCATTTCTATTAAGAAAGGAATCACATAATATTTTAGGACTCTCAACTAATTAACTGTGCGTATGCATTTGGAGGGCACGTGCCTTGTGCACAATGGATTATATTCCTGAGTCCACATTCATAGGAGGCTGAAACTCTGGGGCTGGGCATCCTGGACGTGATTGAACTTCATGGTGCTGGCTCTGATTGGAAGACGTTGTCTGCTTAACTCTTGGCAAAGGGGAGGTGTCCTTCTGTCAGCGGTAGAGATGGAAGGACTGTGAACAGAGGCAAACCAGAGAGCTAAAGGAAACAGATTCAGTCCTTCAAAAGACTCTATAAAGTGTCTGCTACATTGCCTTAAAAACCTGAACACGTGCAGGAAGACCCTGAAATGTCCTCATGTTTGCAATTCTGCTTTAAAGCACACTTCTTAGAGACCCGCCATATGACATTCTGGCTATGTTTGGAACGCAGAACTGCAAAAAGGAACAAAGAAAATTCGATTTCATATAAACATATAAAAGGTATATATGCTTTGCACTTGCTATATTGGTTTTTATTTGTTATCCACCTAGCTCTTGATGTTTGCCAGACCCTTCTGGCTAATGTTGACATTAGCTGATGTTGGGTCTTTAGCTGTGACATATATAATTAACAAACAAGATAAATATATGCTTTGCCATTCTGATATAAGTGGTGTAATTAGATATTTCTCTTTACATTCCTTCCTTAGAGAGATATTCCCAATCAGCAAAAGGATGATTAAAACAACAAACCAATACATTTCCAGAATTCAACAAAAGAAACAATTTCTATAAAGCCACTAATTCAAAACCAAAGAAATTGTTTGATAGGAACACTTAGTAAGCACTCAATGAAGATGTGTTCAATTAAATTGAATTGAATTGAAAATTCAAAGGCATCATTCATATTCAATTCAAAGTAGTGCTTTTCAAATGTCAGGAAGTTGGAAGCTACTTCTTTATTCATAATTTCCATGTAGTTTGGGGAAAAAAAAGTATTTGTCTTCTGTTATTTCTTCTTCCTCCCTATGTAATTAGATGAAGGCTATGAAGTCTTGTTAAGACAGTCTCTAGACTTTTTTAATTACATGAACAATATAAAGCAGATAGATCTCTTTTGGGGAGAGAAAAGAAAAAAAAAAAAAAAACCTTTGCATTTCCAGCAGAGCCACAAGGAACAGCCAGCTTCAGGGTGACACCCTCAGCACTCAATGGAGAAATTATATAATTTGCCATTTAGCAGTTTCACTTCTGTGCCTTTTCTCTCTCCCCTCAACCCCAAACCCCCAACTCAGTCTGTTTGCTGTTGCTGATCCAGATGTTCCCTGAATACTTCTTGATTTAAGGGCACATGCAGTAAATCTGGAGTATTTCCAGCTCGAAGGTGATTCTCTTTACCCCTCCTGAATAGCTTGGTGACTTTGCTGCTCATAGTTTAGGTGAGGCAACATGTGACTCCAAGGCATGTCTGTAAAAATGCCCACGGAGCAAGAAGGAGACTCATAATATTGCTTTTTCACAGTGCAATAAAACGCCCAAATCTACAGAGAGCTAGTGGGCCCTTGCACATGACAATTAAACATTAACAGCCCCAGGGCCCTGGGAGCAGGGCCCAGCAACCCTTTGAAGCCCTGTTTGCCAATTAAACACCGTCTGACATTTGAGTCAAGGTGGCAGGGATCCAAAGCAGAGATAGGAACGTCAACCACTTCAGGGGCATTCATTAGCTCCCAGACATTCCTGGCGTGGCCTGTTTCTTTACTATTGCCAAATCCACACCCTGCTCGGGAACTCAGGGGCTCTGAGAAAGTTTACTCAGATAAGCTTATTATGGAAATATCACTTTGTCACCGTTTACTACTCACTCCTTGTTCAATTATCTTTTATCTGTTTAGAGTATTTGCCAGCTCGCCCAAGGTTCCCCAGAATGAAGCCATTGGATTGAAAGCCCCCACGGGGACTGCACGGGGTGGGGTGGGGTGGGGTGGGGTGGGATGGGGGTGGGGTACCACTCTGCGCTTTCCTTTCTGGTCCAAGAATGCAGGGCTCTCTCCAGAATTTTGGAAACTGCTAAGAGGATACTAGTAAAAGATCTCGTATTTTTTGGCCATGGGGAAGACTGCCTCCCATTGAGGCAGAGACACAGGGAGCCTGAGGCCTCACCGTCAGCAGAAAGAGGGGTGGAGTGTTATTTTGATTATAATAGTGAGCAGTTGATGTGTGTTGCCAGGGCAGAGTGATGAGCGGGAAATTTCACCCACTCCCCACCTCCCTACCTATAAGGTGGTCTCTCTCCAAATTTATGCACAGCTATGGGACCAACATCATTGAGGTTTTTTATTAATGAACCTTTGTCAAATTCCTGTTGCCACTACCACCGTAATTCCTATTGCGTCATCTGCATCTATTATCGCTGTGAAGTGCCATCTTTGTACTCTAATGCCTTCAGATTTGGTGATTTCGCCATTGTGAACTTATCCTGGATGTCAGGATACAGGTTGCATTTTTGCTGCTATGGTGGTTTGAAAATATGCCAAGATCTTTGGTACTCTTCCCATCGAGATGTAGAGATTAATCTCCCACATCCCCAAGTGTGAGCTGAACTTACTGACTCATGTCTAACCAAAGGAATGTGATGGAAACTATCGAGTGTGACTTCCAAGTGTAGGTCGTAAAAAATGCTGAAGATTCCATCTTACTCCTTCTCTTTTATCATGGGCTGTGGTGGGAGCCAGCTGCCATGTCAGAAGGAAACTCAAGAAGCGATGTGGAGTGGTCCCTGTGATAAGGACCGAGGTATTCTGCCATAAACCATGTGCCTGAGCTTAGACACAGATCCTGCAGCCCAGATAAGCCTTACATGACTTGTCCTAGTCGACAGCTCGACTGCAACCTCCGCTGGTCCAGAACCACTCAGCTGATCCGACCCCGAATTCCTGGACTGCAGAAACGGTCAAATAAAAAAAAATGTCTAAGTCACTATTTGGGGTAATTTGTTATGCGGCAATAGAAAACTAAGATGCCTGCCTCAACTTATTGCCAAGAAACTGCTGCTATTTTAGGGCAGAGAGTCACCGGACCTGAATTCTGCGATCAACTTTGTTGTTTAGAAGCTGTTTGACCTTGGAAAACTGACTTGCCTGATCTGGACTTCGGATTCCTCTGGGGACACTGCTCTTCCTCCAGCTTCTAGTTGGTGTAGGAATCGGGTGAAATATTTTTTTAAATGAAAAGTTTTCTGATATCATAATTGCATTATTGTCTAGAATACCTTCCCCTGTGGGCCTAGCTCTCCTTCTTGCCTTCATGCTCCAGCCAAATTAATCATTTCTCTTCAAACAAGGTGTCTTGCTTTAGCCCCTATTTAGAATGTCCTCTCCTAATTCTAATTATCTTTTAAAAAACAAAAAATAAAAAACTATGTGCATAATGTACTCAGTTATTTGCCTATGTCATTCTGGTCCTTCTTTTTTGCAAAAGAACCCAAATCACTTTCAGAAAGTCACCTGCTCCCAAGCCCACCCCATCCTCAGTAACAAGAGGAAACCTGACTGGTATGAGAAGATCAGGGTCATAATCTCCCTCCCTTGTCAGTGATTGGTTCAGTACTGTGCCTGTGATACAGGTCTGGCCACTGAGCTATGGGGGAACATCAGCTGGGGGGATTCTGGGGGTGTTTTCCTTGCTTCTAAAGAGGGAGAGAAAGAGAAGGCTCTGTTCTTCCCCTGGGTTCTTGTCCCATCTGGATGTGGCTCCTGGAACTGCTGTGTCATCATGCTACAATCCCAAACTCAGAGGACACAGCTGAGAGCATTTGCAGAGCAGTAGAGCTGGAGCCCTGGCACCATGACACCATGAGCCTGCTCTTCTGCTGCTCTGCATAGTATATGATTGCTGTCCTGCCCAAGCCAGTTCGGGTTGGCATGATCTGCCATAGATAAAGCAGGCTCCAGAGCCAGGGCAAAGCCCACCTCCTCCAGCATGCCTGCATGGACCCACCCACCCTTCAAAGCTCTCTTCAACTTGGAGTTCCAGTGCCACTTCCTGGGCTGGGAGCTCCAACAGTCGTCACTGAACTCACACAGCTTTGTTCCAGTATTCAACTTTCACTGCATTACACCCTCACCCAGCACTGTGTGTCCACCGTACTGAGAGCCTCATGCAGAGTGTGCAGGATATTAATGTCTGAATTTCCCACACCAGCACTGATCCTGCACAATAATAGGTTTAATCAAGCCCAAAATGCTCTGTTGAAACTTCCTCAAACCCAATCAGTACCTACTGGCCCTATAAGTTTCATAACTTAGGAAGGCACCCAAGTGATTCCTCACATAATATGCAACATTTGTTCTAAGATATTGCCATTTCTGCCCATTCAGCGTTTTTAAAAACAGTTATCAATAGGCGAATCCAGTAGATAAAGCCACTTACTTTCTTCTCAAAGCCACTATTGGTTACGTTTTCTTAAATATGTGAGGTGAAAGTTATAAAACCCACCTCTAATGTCTGAGAGATGAATAAGATAATGCATGCAAAATCCATAGCATCAGACATGAGAAGCAGTCAGAGATCAACGAATTGCACGGGTTCTGTAGCATGGATGACACCTGGATAAGCTGACATGTATTGCTGCCTGATTTTCTACAACTCCAATTGAAGGGGTTTTACCCTATTATGATCAGGTACTATAATAAAATGGCTATAATTTGGAAATCAAATTTTCTTTTCCACATAGTGCCTGGATGGAAATATGTTAGTGTCTTTCCATGGTTGAGTGGTGGTCTATACTCCCCATTCTCCCAAACAGGAAATTTCCTCGAGCAAGGAGAGTCAAGAGAATGGCCCCAGGAGCAAGGAACTCTCACTACGAACTATATGTGGTGCACTTTCCCAATCCTTAATGTTTCGAAAGAGTAAGAACTCTTGGAAAGGTCCCCCTTTTGCTTAAATTGAAAGTAGAAATTAGTGTTAGTATTGTATTTGTTTCTGTGATCAATGTTTTCAACTTCCTTCCCTCTCTACCCCAAAAGCCCAATTTCAGACGGGAAAGAATTGTTTCTACGGGTTATGGTTGAGAACAGGGTGCCAGAGGCCAAAACTGGAGTTTAAGTTTGATCCCTACAAGATCATGTCATTTCTCATGGAGCAAGCGCTCTAGCTGCAGATTGAACAAACAACTGCATGGGCTGAGAGGACCATTGGTCGTGTTGGTCAAAAGAAATCGTGCAAGAGTGTGGGGGCTTACAGAGGCCTTGGCTGTGGTTCCTCGCAGATGCTGAGGTCTCAGGAGACAGATCCAAGGCCTGTTTCACCCCTAACCCTACACTCCATCCCTTGTAGTGCCCGAACCACACATACTCAGAAGATGCTGTTGTTCTGAATCCATGTTTCCCCTTCGCAAAGCTGATGGGATGTTTATTGTTTAATCGCTCAGTTTAATACATTTAGAAACTGTGGGT